AGGCCGCAGAGGGGGGAGGCGGAGCTGCAGGAGCTGGAGCAAAAGCTGGAGGCTGGCCTCTCCCGGCATGGCCTGAGCCCCGCCACTCCCAGTCAGGGCTGTTCCGGCCCACCCGGCAGCCCCGAGGAATCCCCGCGGCCACGAGGCCTGGCCTCCAGCGGCTGGGGCATGGCCCTCCGGGCAGGAGAGGGGCCTTCGCTGACAGAGCAGGAGTTGCAGAAGGTCTCCTCCAGCCTGGAGGAGCTGAGGTGGGCGGGGACTGGAGGAGGTGGCTGGACCAGGTCTCCGGTGGAACAAAGGGCGTGGTCTCCGGGAGGGTGGAGGCTGGGTGGGCGGGGCTTAGAGCAGCTAGGTGAGAGGGTTTGGCCGCAGGACCTAGATGAGGATTTGGGTGGTGACATCAGTGATCCAGGCCTGACCCAGCTCACAGGTGAAAAGAAAAAGGCGGGGCACACGTGTGGCGCACACCTTCCATCCCAGCACTGGCAGGCAGAGGCTGGAGGATCTCTGTGAGTTGGATGCCAGCCTGGCCCCCATAGAGAGCTCCAGTACAACCAGTCTTAAAAAATGAGAGGGCAAAGATAGCCACACTAGCTATACTTAGAGGCCAGGCAGTGGTGGCACACACCTTTAATCCCATCACTCGGGAGACAGAGGCAGAGGGATCTCTGTTAGTTCAAGACCACCTTGAGTTACATGAAATTATTCCCGTCTGAAAGAGAAACAGGACGAGCAAAGGAGATCTATCTCAGCACTTGGGATTCCATGGCATTAATCCCAGCACTAGAGAGGATTGTAAGGTGGGAGGAGCCAGGAACTGAGAGTCAGAGAAGCAGTGCAGTTGGGAGCAGTCAGTGGGCACCCCCCAACCCCATTTAGATCTGAGCATTGGTAGAGGTGAGACATCTCTAGTGGCTGGTCGCTTTGCTTCTCTTATCTTCAGGCAAACTTATTTGTTCTATCATTAACAAAATATCACCACAAATGAGGTCGATGGGGGCATGCATGGTCACCCACCCTTTCTTCCTTTCTGATTCCTCAGGAGGGAGGTGTCCTCCCTGGCTGCCCGGCGGCATCAGGAGGAGGGGGCACTGCAGGAGGCGCTGAGGTTGCTAGGTGGCCTGAGTGGCCGGATGGATGGCTTCCTGGGCCAGTGGGAGTGGGCACAGCGGGAACAGGCGCAGTCTGCACGGGGCTTGCAGGAGCTGCGAGGACGGGCAGATGAGCTGTGCACTATGTAAGGGCTCAGCTGGTGCTGGAGGGGACATGGGGTCCGGGAAAAGTGGAACAAACCCAGGGGGGTGGGGGATAGATCCTTGAGTAAAAAGGATTGATCAATCTGCTGGGGCCAAGTGACCATACCAAGAATCTTGCCTAGAATCCCCAGTGAGGGTGGAGGTGTGGCCCAGTGGTAGAGTCCCTGCCTAAAATAGCCCAGCTATGGATTAAGGGCGTGGCTTTGGAATCCACCTGTGAGGAGTGAGGGCGTGGTTCAGCAGTAGTACATTTGCCTAGCAGAACCCCTGGCTGCTATCCCTAGTGGATATGGAGAACGCCATCAGAGCAGAGGACAGGCAGATATACAGCACCGAAAGGTGGACTCTCCGATTCTGGGCTCACATTGACTGTTGCAAGCACCCACATTGCTTCTCTCCCATCTCAGGGTGGAGAGGTCAGCAGTGTCTGTGGCTTCACTGAAGAGCGAACTGGAGGCCTTGGGCCCAGTGAAACCGATTCTGGAGGAGCTGGGGCGGCAACTTCAGAACACTCGAAGGGGAGCAGACCATTTCTTGAGCTTGGATAGGTCTGCCCAAGGCTCCTGTGCCCGCTGTGCCAGGTATGGGGAGAGGTAAATCTTGCATTGTGGGTCAAACATAGGATGGCACATTGTCATTGTGAGAGATGTGTTTCTGTGGATTGCAGACTGAGAGTCATGTTGCATTGTGTGAACAACTTTTCTACCCTTCCCACATGGTAAAAATTGACTTATTGTGGAAAGCAGAGATTGGGTGCATTGACTTTTGGAACATGGTGCATTGTGGGAAATTGGGTAGGTTCTCCATGATCTGCAACATACCACTAGGGGCATGGAGACATATCTCAGGAAATGTCTGCTTTGCAAACAGTCGGGAGCATTCCTGTACCAACCAGTCTAGTTGAATCTAGGAGCTGCAGGTTCAGAGACCCTGTCTTTAAAAGTAAGGTAGAGAGCTGGAGTGCAGTTAGGAGCACTGGCTGCTCTACCACAGGTCCTGAGTTCAAGTCCCAGCACCCACATGGTAGCTCACAACCATCTATAATTGTAGACCAATGGGATCTGAAGCCCTTTGGTATGCAGACCTACATAAAGACAAATCAATCATATAGATAAACAAAGAAATCTAGATCCCAGCACTCACATGCAGAGGCAGGTGGATAGCTGTGCATTTCGGACCAGTTGGTCTACACAGCAAATTCCAGGCCAGCCGGGGCTACATGGATAGACCCTATTTTTAAAAAAGAAAAAGGAAAAAATGGGATCAGAGAGGTGACTGAGTGGATAAAAGTGTTTGTGCTGACAGCCATACTTACCACCTGTATATCCCACTGTGGGAGGAGAGAACCCACTCGCAATGGTTGACCTCTAACCTCCACACCTGCGTACCTACATACATAGCCATACAATAATTAAATTAGGGGGCGGTGGCTTGAGAGATGGCTCAGTGGTTAAGAGCATTGGCTGCTGTTCCAAACGGCCCAGGTTGCATTCCCAGCTCCCACAGGATGGCTCACAAACATCTCTAGTTCCAGGAGATCCAACACCCTCCTCTGGCCTCTGTAGGCATGTGGCATGCAGTCACACATACACAACAATAAAATCTTAAAAGTAAGACCCCACACTGCTGCTTCAGAGGACCTGAGTTCGATTTCCAGCACCCACAAAAGTTGACTCACAATCACCTGTAACTATATCTGGTGGGAAACCAATACCACTGGTCTCTTCTGGCACATGCATTCCACAGCCAGGGACAGCAGTTGTCCACGGAGTCACTGCAGCAGCTGCTGGAACGTGCACTGACCCCGCTGGTGGATGAGGTGAAGCAAAAAGGCCTGCCTCCTGCCTGCCCCAGCTGCCAGAGGCTACAAAAGAAGATGTAGCCCTTCAGGGAAGTCAAGGGACTCAGAGGGACCACACTGGGGGAGCCACTTATAGAGTCACACTCCATAGCTGTTAGAACTTGAGAAGCATAGAGAGGCACTGCATGATGTTGGCCTATGGGCTGATGGGATACAACTGTAGGACTATAAGTGGAGTCATGGCCTTGTGCATTGTGGGATAGAGGATAGTGCATGATGGGATATAGGCCTAAGGGGTGATGGGATATGAATTGTAGTGAGCTGCAGCCCATAGGAAGTCACAGGGCGCCAGGCGTTGGTGGCACACGCCTTTAATCCCAGCACTCAGGAGACAGAGGCAGGCAGATCTCTGTGAGTTGGAGGCCAGCCTGGTCTACAGAGCGAGTGCCAGGATAGGCTCCAAAGCCACACAGAGAAACCCTGTCTCAAAAACAAAACAAAACAACAACAACAAAAAAGTCACAGGGCATGGTGAATTGTGGGATATAGAACACTTAATGCTAGGGTGCATTCTTGGGACAGAGGCTGGAATCATAAAAACAGGGTCTTGGAATTTAGGGATGTAGAAGGGCATGAAATTCTGGGATCTGCACGATACAGGACAATTCACAGGCATTAGGCACACAGAACTTCAGATGTGACTCAGCTGGCTGGGACATAGGCCAGTGTATTAGGGACACTCACAGGCTTCCTGAGAGGTACAGTTGGGGATACCAGTGAATTGGGGGATACCTGGGGTAATCCCCAAGCTGAAGGCCTGTTAGGTTGCTTTGGGTGGTGTGTGGGCTCCATGCCACCCGGCCCCTTGCCTTCAGTGACCCAGTTCCCCCTCTACCCCAAGCCCAGTCCAGCAAGCCCTACAGTCCTCTCCCCAGGAGCTGGAGCGCCAGGCCTTGGCCAAACAGGTCAGGGCAGAGGCCCTGAGCTCCACCCTTCGGCTGGCCCAAGACGAAGCCGTTCAGGTCAAGAACCTGCTGCTGACGGACAAGATGAGCCCGGAGTGAGGGCGGGTCAAGAACCTACTGCTGACGGACAAGATGAAGCCGGAGTGAGGATGGAAGCAGAGGGCATGGGCCAAGGGCATGGGAGGAGGGTGAGGTCTCCAGATGGGGCCTGGCTCCTCCTTCTCTTGCCCCTCACCCACCCTAGTCCCCAGCTGGGCCTCCCTAGGGCTGACTCCCAGCTGACTGTCATTGCAGGGAGAAGGTGGCCACTTTGGACTATAAGCATTTGAAGATGTGCACCCTCCATGACCAGCCACCTGCCACTTGAGGGGTCCATCAGGGCTATGGGGGGAGGAATCACGGGAGGGGCTCCCCCTAAACGTGGGGGCCCAGGCTCTGAACAATAAATGGCCTCTCACGCTGGCATGAATTCTGACTCTGAGCTGGCATCAGAAGTATAGTGGTCAGGTGTGGATGCTGAGATAAGGGGGTTTCCATGGATCTGGGATAGTCTGGGTCACACAGTGACACCCTATCTCAAAACAAAACAGGGAAGGGATACAGCTCAAATTGTAGAGCACTTGTGGAGCTCGCTGGAAGATCTGGATCCATCTGGACCACCCAGGATGCAGGTGCACACCTGTCAACACCAGACTATCTACACAGAAAATTCCAAGCCAGCCTGTGTTACAGAACACCCGATCTCAAAAGAACAAAGAAGGGGCTGGAGAGATGGCTCAGTGGTTAAGAGCATTTAACTTCTCTTACAAAGAACCTGAGTTCATTTTCAAGCACCCATATGGTGGCTCAGGTAAAAGGATCTATCATAATTGTTTGCTTCTTATCCCCTATTAATATAGCAGTGAGTTGGGGAGGTATGGATATTCTTGTAGTGGCTCCTGTTCTTTATGCTATCAGGGATCCTGCTAAGCCAATGGAGGAGGGTAGACTGAGATTTACACTCTGGGAGTAGAAGGAATTCCTATTTGCATGGGAAATGAAACTGAATGCCTAAATATGCCTATAGTCAATACTACCCAAGATTATTATAAGAGTTTATATGCTTCATGCATCTGGTTTTGAAGGACAGGAGCTTAATGCTACTAGTTCCACACATCCACCATTGTTTGAGGAGTAGGTTACCAACAAGGGATCTAACTGGATACACTGGCAACAATGTAAGAGTGAGAGACCTCCAGTGCTAATTAATGTCTTCAAGGAGATGTCATCGATGTTAGGAATAGGGAGCTAGGTGATCTTGACAGATTCCATGGTGGGTGAGCAACAAACATGCCAGGCTGATCTTACATGGAAACGAACTTTTCTTGGGAAGGGAGTGGGAGAAGAGAGGGGAGAGAGAAGAAAGTGAGAGACAGGGAGAAAAGAGAGAGGAGAGACATGACAGACAGACATCTATCTGACTCCTTGGAGATAGGTGGAAAGAGAGACAGCAGGTTGGTGGAGTTTGCCTCTTAAAGGGCCAGGGTGTGTACACCTGCCATGTATGTGCACAGCGGTGAGGGGTGGGGCCAGGTTTGCCTGGATTACAATAGATTGGAGTCCTTATGGCTTCCCTCAAGGAATATATTCTCACTCAGAGTTCAGATGGAAGTGGTATAGTTTGAATGAACTGTAGAAATGAGTGCTTCTGTTAAATGAACCTATCAGCTGGCTGCCTGCACAGTCTCCCAAGGTTCCTCTGTAACATTGGGGCATCCATTTTTGCCTACTGTGGGAGCCCACAGTGACTCCGTTCCATCTTGACTTGAGGTAAGAGATTTCAATTTTATTCTTGCTTCTCAAGGCCAATCATCAGGATGTTTGACTTAGGGCGTGATTACTATATGTTTTAAAAATTGAGGTAATTATGCTTGTTTGTTCCTTGTATCGTGGTAAGGAAGTCTTTTGCCCTCCCCTTTTGCTTTGGGTATAAAAGGAGTATGATAAATTCCTGAGAGACTTTATCATTTATTACAGAAGTATCAATTAATATTCTAGGTGATAACCTACTAGAATTAACTTCTGATGGAGGAAACTTCCTTTGCAAAGTCTTCAAGAAATACAGAATCCAGAATATTTTTTGCTTCTGCCTGTAGGGGCTACTAGGAGGCAGGGCTACAGTGTCTCACTGCCTGTAATTTTAAATGTGCTAATTGCATTCTTTCTCTAGCCTGTATATATGTGTGTGTGTGTATCATAAGTACATTCCCAATCTACTGGGCACATGTATCTGTGGGAAGTCAGGAGGATGACTTCTCATTTGCCTGTGTAATCTTGATATACAGAATATATACTAGGTGCCTTGAATTTTCGAAAAAGCCCCAGAGAAAGGAATCCTTTCTCCCCAGGGTGTCTGAAAGTCTCCTCGGAAGGTCACTCCTACTGTAGTGGCTCCATTAGACCTGCCTAGGGGGCCTTCTGTGATGCAAAGGCCTCCTGGAACATGGCAAACAGTCAGTCATGCATCTCCTCTGCAAGCTTGAGTTAGAGAGGCAGCTAGCAGAGGGGAGGGTGTCAAAGGGTTCAGATGTTTCCAGTAATAGAGCAAAGGGACTCTCAGGGAAATCTACTCAGAGTGCATACTCCAGTTCCATTCAAAAATCCAAAGAATTAAAAACAGCATGCTCCTCATTAGAAAACATGTTTATAGAGGAAACAGATGGCCAAAACTTGCCTGTTGGAAGGGCATTACCTGTTGTGGAAAACTGAATTTGTAGAGTTTGAACAATGTCAAGCCACAGCTGAAATAAATTGGGCCCATCAAATTTCCATTATTTTTGATATGCTTGCGGGAGAAGGCATTTTTCAGGAAACAGATCAGTTAAATTCTGATGAGGTAATGTATACCCAGGTTAATGCAGCTGCCACGAGGGCCTGGAACAGGCTTCTATCTTCTGGAGGGCAGACCGAGGACTTGTCAAAAATAAGGCAGGGACCTGACGAATTGTTTCAGGACTTTGTCTCTAGGCTAATGCACACATCAGACACAATATAAGTGACCCCAAAAATTCTACCACAGAACTCCTACAACTGATAAAAAACCTTCAGTAATATAGCAGGATAAAAGATTAACTAAAAAAAATCAGTAACCCTCCTATACACAGAAGACAAATGGGCTGAGAAGAAAATCAGATAAACATCACGCTTTGCAATAGCCATAAATAACATAAAGTATCTTTGGGTAACTCTAACCAAACAAACGAAACTCCTGTATGACAGGAACTCCAAGTCTTTAAAGAAAGAAATTAAAGAAGATATCAGAAAATGGAAAGATCTCCCATGCTCTTGAATGGTAGGATCAACATAGTAAAAATGGCAATCCTACCATTACCTAAAAAAGTAATCTACAGATTCAATACAATTCCCATCAAAATCCCAGAACAATTCTTCACAGACCTTGAAAGAGCAATAGTCAAATTCATATGGAAAAACAAAAAACCCAGGATAGCCAAAACAATCCTGTATAATAAAGGATCATCTGAGGGCATCACCATCCCTGCCTCCAAGCTCTACTATAGAGCTATAGTAATGAAAACAGCTTGGTATTGGCATAAAAACAGGTGGACCAATGGAATCAATCATAGACCCCAATATCAACCCACACACCTAAAACCCCCTAATTTTTGACAAAGAAGTTAAAAATATAAAATGGAAAAAAAGAAAATATATTGGACAAATGGTGTGGTATAACTGGTTGTTAACATGAAGAATGCAAATAGGTCCATATCTATTGCCATGCCCCAAACACAAGTCCAAATGGATCAAAGACCTCAATATAAATCCATCCACACTGAACCTCACAGAAGAGAAAGTGGAAAATACATTTGAACATATAGACACAGGAAGCTACTTCCTAAACAGAACACCAGTATCACAGAACAATTAAGTGGGACCTCCTGAAACTGAGAAGCTTCTGTAAAGCAAAGAACATGATCAGCAAGACAAAGTGGCTCCCTACAAAATGGGAAACGATCTTCGCCAACCCCACATCTGACAGAGGGCTGATCCCCAAAATATACAAATAAATAGAGAAATTAGAAATCAAACTACCAAACAATACAATTTAAAAATGGGGTGCAGATCTAAATAGAGAATTCTCAACAGAAGAATCTCAAATGGCAGAAAGACACTTAAGGAAATGCTCACCATCCTTAGTCATCAGGGAAATGCAAATCAAAACCACTCTAAGATTCCATCTTACACTGATCAGAATGGCCAAGATCAAAAACACCAATGACAGCTTATGCTGGAGAGGATGTGGAGAAACGGGAACACTCCTCCATTGCTGGTGGGAGTGCAAACTTGTACAGCCGCTGTGGAAATCAGTATGGTGATTTTTCAGAAAATTAGGGATCAACCTACCTCAAGACCCTGCAATACCACTGTTGGGCATATACCCAAAGGAGGCACAGTCACACCACAAGGACATTTGCTTAACTATGTTCATAGCAACATTATTTGTAGTAGCCAGATCTTGGAAACAGCCTAGATGTCCCTCAACTGAAGAATGCAGTAAGAAACAATGACATCCTAAAATTCACAGGCAAATGGACAGAACTAGAAAAAACCATACTAAGTGAGGTAATCCAAAGCCAGAAATACAAATATAATATATATTCACTCATAAGTGGATGCCAGACATAAAGCAAAAGATACCCAGCCTACAATCCATTACTCCAGAGAAGCTTGAACCCTCTTCCAGAAACAGATGGAAACAGATGCAGAAATCCACAACTAACCAATGGGCCAAGCTCTCAGGAGTACAATCAAAGTGAGGGAGGAGTGATAATATGAAGAAAGGAGTCAAGACCATGATGGGGAAACCCACAGAATCAGCTGACCTGAGCTAGTGAGAGATCACTGACTCAGGTCTGACAAATGGGGAATCTGCATAAGACCCAACTAGATTACCTTAATATAGGTGACAACAGTGTGACTGGGACAATATATGAGGTCACTGGCAGTGTGTCCAAGATCTAACTCTAATGCACAAACTGACTTAGTGAAGCCCATTCTATATGGAGAGATACCTTGCTCAGCCTAGAACAGGTGTGTGTGGGGTGGAGTGGTGCCTTGGTCCTGCCTCAACTAGATCATGGGACAGACTTAGTAGACTTCTTATGGGAGGCCTTACCCTCTCTGAGGAGCAGATGGGAGGAGGGGAGAGTGGAGGGAGTGGAAGGAAAGGAGGGAGGGGGAACTGGGATTGGAATGTATAAAATAAATTTAAAAAGGAAAACAAAACATGAAAAGAAATACAGTAGCTGTGTGTGGTGGCACAAACCTTTAATTCCAGCACTAGAGAGGCAGAGACAATCAGATCTCTGTGATTTCAAGGCCAGCTTTGTGTACAGAGTGAGTTCAAGGGCAGCCAAAGTTACACAGAGAAATCCTGTCTCAAAAAATG